CGGAGGAGCAGCAGGGAGTTTCTGCAGTCGGGATGGGGCAGTGGGTAACGGGAACGGCTCCCACCTTCCCGGGAGCGCCTCATCCCACAGCCTGTCCTGGGAGAATCACTGGGATCGGGGAATCCAGCACTGGGATCGGGGAATCCAGCACTGGGATCGGGGAATCCAGCCTGGGATCGGGGAATCCAGTCTGGGATCACTGAAATCAGCACTGGGATCAGGGAATCCAGCCTGGGATCAGGGAATCCAGCCTGGGATCAGGGACCCAGCCTGGGATCAGGGAATCCAGCCTGGGATCAGGGAATCCAGCCTGGGATCGGGGAATCCAGCCTGGGATCAGGGACCCAGCCTGGGATCACTGAAATCAGCACTGGGATCAGGGAATCCAGCCTGGGATCAGGGAATCCAGCCTGGGATCAGGGAATCCAGCCTGGGATCAGGGAATCCAGTCTGGGATCAGGGAATCCAGCCTGGGCTGCCTCCAGCCCCGGCCCAGGGCTGTCCCCTGTGTCGGTGACCCCGCAGCCTCGCGGGGACGGGTGGCTGGGGGACCCTGGTGGCACTGGGAGGATTCCAGGGTATTTCTGCTGATGGCAGGGGAGGAATCAAAGCTTTTTTTTTGTTTTTTTTTTTTTGGCTTTTCCAGGGAATCCATCCCTCCCTGGAACCGGTGCTGGGGAGTTCCTGTGGCTCTTTGGAGAAGGACAAAGTTTGGATTCCTTCAGCCTGGAGGGGAGGAAAAAGGGACCTGCAATTGCAGGAAGGCTGCTCTGGGAAAAACATCTGCAGGGAAACACACTCAGCAGGCTGTTTATGTACAGGAACTCAGCAATTCCAGGGGATACACACCAGGAAAAAACAGCAATTCTGATCCAGAGGTGCTTCCAGCAGGGCTGTGGTGGCTCCGGGAGGGGGTGACGGGAACACCCCGCCCCTGCCTCGGCTGCAATTCTGGCTGTACAACAGGAACTAAGCGAAGATCTGCTGGATCCCAGGGCAAACTGCTGCAGGAGGGGGGAGACGATCCCACTAAAGCTATCTGGGATGTGGAACGGGACGGGAGCAGCTCCAGGGAAGCGCTGGCAGCCGGCTGAGCTGCAGGAGGGACGGGAGGATGGAGCAGGACAGCAGGGACAGCAGGGACAGGCCCAGCAATCGGAGCTCCTCGGCTCCCTGGGGCTCCCAGACACTTCCAGTCCTCACACGGCCTCACTGAGGCCGAAACATCCGAGTTCCTCAGAACTGTGGGGACGCCGGGCAGGGCGGCACCGGGCCCGGCCCTGGGGACGCTTAGGTGCCCTTGGGAGGGGTCCACTTGAGGCAGCTGGGATCCATGGTCTTGTTGCTGTTGGATCTCTTGGCCTCCTTGGCGATCCACTCGTCGATCAGGTCCTGGGGAGAGCAGGAGGCGGCTCAGGGCTGATCCCGGCGGGAATCGCCCGCGGGACGCGGCCACCGAGGGCAGGGTGGATCAGCTGTGAGTGCCGCAAAGGAACAGTGCAGGAACGGCAAAACGACGGCAAAACAAGGGCAAAACAAGGGCAAAAACAAGGGCAAAACAAGGGCAAAAACAAGGGCAAAACAAGGGCAAAACAAGGGCAAAACAAGGGCAAAACAACAGCAAAAACAAGGGCAAAACAAGGGCAAAACAAGGGCAAAACGACGGCAAAACTACACCAAAACACCAGCACAGGAACAGCAAAGCAACACCAAAACGACACCAAAAAAATACCAAAAAAACATGAAAAAAACAGCAGAGGGACAGCAGAGGGACAGGAGGACAGCAGGGGGACAGGACAGAAGGACAGAAGGCCAGCAGCAGGACAGCAGAGGGACAGCAGGGGGACAGCAGGACAGCAGCAGGACAGCAGGACAGCAGCAGGACAGAAGGACAGCAGGACAGAAGGACAGAAGGCCAGCAGCAGGCCAGCAGCAGGACAGCAGAGGGACAGCAGAGGGACAGCAGAGGGACAGCAGAGGGACAGGACAGCAGGACAGCAGCAGGACAGAAGGACAGCAGGACAGCAGGACAGAAGGCCAGCAGGACAGCAGCAGGACAGCCCACGTCCTGCCCCAGCTGGAGATGATGAGGAGGAGGAGGAGGAGGAGGAGGCTCCCAGCAATCCCGAGGAGGAAGGAGATCCCCCCAGGCTCACCTGCCTCTTGAGGACCAGGTGTTTGCCCTTCCAGTACTTGAGCATCTGCAGGGCCTGCAGGGTGCTGACGATGTCCACGGGGTTCACCGCGGTCTCCTGGCTGATCTCTGCACGCACAGCCTGGCTCAGAGCCCGCCCA